AGAAACCTTTCGCCGCCGGGAGCGCCGTTCCCCCCCCCCTCCCCGAAGAAGAACGGGGGGGGAGCGGCGGTCGTGCCTCCAGAATTCTGGGGCTGACGCTAAATCCATTACCTTCGGGGATGATTGGGAGGACGCGCGAGAGGACACGAGACCCTTCCGAGGGCCACATTGCCATAGGAATAATGCACGGGTAGCGAAACACAGGACACGAGCGGATTGTGCTCCCCACTTGTACCATGCAGAGCCACAGGGGGGATGCTCATGTGAGCGTTGTGCCCCTCCTTAGCCGCCTGCAGCCCGAGGACACACAGGAGGCGGAGACTGCGGCCAGACGAACGGCAAAGCCAGCCGAGTCTGTCGTAAGGGCCTCCGCCGCGAAGGCCTTCAAAGGAGAGTTCTAAGGGCAGCCTGCAGCAGCACCGAAGGATGCTCCATTTGAGCAGCGTTGACGGGCAACGATAGGGGGCCCTGGCATACGTGGGGATGCATCGACCTGGAATCGGCGATACATCGCCGATAGATCGGCGATAGGCCGCCGATAGTGAATCCCCACCTTCCTCTGCCCCTATCGGCGATCAATGGGCTATCGAGCCCCTATCGTTGCCCCTGAAGCGTCTTAAGCCTCACCTCGATTGGCCGTGGGGGGCGCCTGGCGGGCAGCCTGCGACCTCTGGGGGGGCACCTTCAAGCTTGGCGGCCCTGTCGGCCGTGTGCGCATCCGTGCCACTTTCTTTTTTTCTGAGGCGCTGCCGCCTCATAACAGAGCGTATGGCGATCCCAATCCAGGACTACTTTGTGGATCTTTCGACGGGACAGGTGGACAGGAATGTAAGCCAAACTTGGGGATATACCTATACGACAACCCTTCGGGTGAAAAGAAGGTTCGGGGGAGTGGAATCACTCGATCGGTCCCACTATCGATCTCACTATCGATCTCACTATCGGTCTCGCTCGATCGATATCACTCGATCGATCCAACTCGGTCCATTTCATTCGATCGATCTGACAATCGATCTGACGATCGATCTCACAATCGATCTCACTATCGATCTCACTATCGACCTCACAATCGATCTCACATTCGGTTTCACGATCGATCTCACTATCGATATCACAATCGATCTCACAATCAACGACATCATCACCATCAGCAACATCATCGTCATCAACGTCATCAACAACAACAGCATCATCATAATCATCAGGACACCATCATCATCACCTCATCATCATCATCAACATCATCATCATTACCATCATCATCATCAGCATCATCATCGGGGCACCATCAGCATCGCCATCATCATCATCAACAACAACATCATCATCATCATCATCGGGACACCATCATCATCATCATAATCATCATTATCACCGGAACACCACCATCATCATCATTCCATCATCATCATGAACAACATCATCAACATCATCACCATCATCATCGGGACACCATCATCATCAACATCATCATCATCAACATCATCATCATCATCATCATCATCGGGACACCATCATCTTCACCATTATCATCATCACCATCATCATAAACATCAGCATCATCATCATCACCATCACCATCACCACCATCACCATCATTGGGCCACCATGATCAAAATCATCAGCATCACCTGATCATCGTCCTCATCATCATCATGAACATCATCATCAGGACACCATTATCATCATCATCAACATCATCATCATCGGGACACCATCATCATCACCATCATCATCAACAGCATCATCATCAGCCTCATCAGCACCATCATCATCGGGACACCATCATCATCATCATCATTTCATCATCATCCTATCAACATCAGCATTATCAGGATCATCAACATCGCCATCATCATCGGCACACCATCATCATCATCATCATCAGCAACATCATCATCAACATCAACATCAACATCATCATCATCATCATCATCATTATCATCATCATCGGGACACCATCATCATCATCACCACAGCACCATCATCATCATCATCAACAACATCATCAGCATTATCATCATCATCATCATCATCATCATCATCATCATCATCATCATCATCTTCGGGACACCATCATCGTCACCACCATCACCACCATCGCCATCATCAACATCATCAACACCAACATCAACATCAACATCAACAACATCATTATCATCATCATCATCATCATCACCACCACCACCACCACCACCACCACATCATCATCATCATCATCATCATCATCATCATCATCATCATCATCATCATCATCATCATCATCATCATCATCATCATCATCATCATCATCATCATCATCATCGGGACACCGACGGGACACCGGCGGGACACCAGCGGGACACCGCGGGCCACCGGCCCCCGGAAAGGAATCATTTGGTCCGGCCGCGCCTCAGCCGGAGGCGGGACACCGGCGGGACACCGCGGGCCACCGGCCCCCGGAAAAGAATCATTTGGTCCGGCCACGCCTCAGCCGGAGGAGACTTTCTTCTCGCCAGCCCACGCAGCTTCGCCTCGCCCGCACGTACGGCACGTACGAACACGAAACCGAAACCGATTTCCCGGTAGGGGGGCTCTCCGTTCCACTTCGATCTCACCCCCTCACCTCCGACGATGGGGGTGCCTGTTTTCGATAGGGGGTGCATCCGAATAGCCCCCTGTGACATACCCCCGAGTTGCCCGTTCTCTCTAATCGGCCAGTTATTCGCGGAGGATCTCGGGTATGGAGCGCGAGAAGTCACCAGCGAGTGCAGTGGAGGCCAGTCCACAAGAAACCTTCCACAAGAAACCCAACCCTGAGATCCCAGGACGTCCGTTGATTGTTCGTGTGGGAGCGCCGCGCTTTCCATAGCACAACTGTTGAAACCCAATAACCCAGGGACTCCTGGAGGCAAGCAGGGTGTTTCTTGGCATGGGCCCCCACTGTAGAGGATGAGGAGAAAGGATGCCTGGGGGGTCGCCGACAGGGGAAGGAAGAGGAGGACGACGAGGAGGGGGAGGAAGAGGAGGAGGAGGAGGAGGAGGAAGAAAAGGAGGAGGAGGAGGAGGAGGAGGAGGAGGAGGGGGAGGAGGGGGGGGAGGAGGAGGGGGAAGAGGAGGAGGGTGTTTCTTGGCATGGGCCCCCACTGCATCGTCCTCCAGCGTGAAACTCAAATCTCCGACGTCGTGACTTTCTCGCAGCGTGGACACCCGAAAATCTGGGCCGCTTCCCGCGACTGGTCTTCCACACCCCGATCCGCCTTCGGACGGCCCCAGGCCCCCTATGGAGGCTGAAAGTTGCCAAACACCTTCCGCCGTGACTACTTCGCAACGAGAGGGGGCCAAATTCCAAGCAAGGACAGTGCATCCATCATCAGCATCAGCATCAGCGTCAGCAGCATCATCATCAGCAGCAGCATCATCATCAGCATCATCATCACCATCATCATCACCATCATCATCACCACCATCACCACCACCATCACCATCACCATTACCATTACCATCACCACCACCACCACCATCACCATCATCATCATCATCATCATCATCATCATCATCATCACCATCACCATCACCATCACCATCATCATCATCACCACCATCACCATCATCATCATCAACACCATCACCATCACCATCACCATCACCATCACCATCACCATCACCATCACCACCACCAGCATCAGCATCAGCATCAGCATCAGCATCAGCATCAGCATCAGCATCAGCATCAGCATCATCATCATCATCATCATCATCATCATCATCATCATCATCATCATCACCATCACCATCACCATCACCATCACCATCATCATCACCATCACCATCACCATCACCATCACCATCATCACCGTCGTGATTTCTTCGCAACGAGAGGGGGCCGTACTGTCGGGCCAGAGCTTGGGTCTCCGGCGGCCGTTCGGGAGGATCCGGGCACCGCTGGAACGCTCTCGGCAAGGCGCAGCTGCTGGAAGGCATCCCGAGGCTGGAAGACCGACGACGACGGACGAAAACGTCAGCAAAAAATACTGAGACGAAAACGAGAACGAACACGTATAACGTCGAAAACGAAAACGGCGACGGACGAACACGTCAGGGAAAGATGCGCTTTCTCACAGCGGGTGGAGGCGGGAGGGCCGCTCGGAGGCGCCTCGTTGCGCTGGAGCAGCAGCACCATGTCGAGCAGCAGCTGGTGGAGCCCCTGCGATGAGACGAGAGCGCGGGGGCAGCGGTCGGGCGGGGGGGCCGGGTGGGCGGAGACGGGTGGGCGGAGGCGGGCCCCGTCCCGAAACGGCCCCAAACGGTTCTCGTCCTCCTCCATCCTGCATCCTCCATGCTCCGCCCTCGTCCTCCTCCTCCCTCCTCCCTCTTCCTCTTCCCTCCGCCTTCCTGGTCCTCCCTCTTCCTCCTCCCTCTCTCCCTCCCTCCATCCCTCCCTCCTCTTTCTCCTCCGACACATCCTCCTCATCCCTGCCTGCTCCCTCCTTCTCCTGCTCTTCCTCTTCCTCCTCCTCCTCCTCCTCCTCCTTTTCCTCCTCCTCTTCCCTCCCTCATTATCCTCCCCCCCTCATTCCTCCCTCCTCCTCCTCCTCCCCTTCCCTCCCCCCTCTTCCTCCTCCTCCTCCGCCTCCTCCCTCCTCCCTTCTCCCCCCTCCCTCCTCCTCCGTCCCCCCTCCCCCCATGGTCACACGAGACGATGAGCGGGCACGTGACGATGAGGAGGAGGAGGAGGAGGAGGAGGAGGAGGAGGAGGAGGAGGAGCGGTGAGGAGGAGCAGCGAGGCGACAGAGGGGAGGGGCAGGAGGAGTCGCAGAAGGGGGGGAGGGTCCAGAAGCAGCGAGAGGAAACAGAGGCGCAAGACATCGGGCATGGAGGAGGACCCCGAGGAAACATAACAGAAGAAGACACGAAAGCCTAAAGAGGAACGTTCGGGGCTTTCTTGGATCCGAGCGGTACCCCCCTCCCTGGCGCGCGGAGCGCGCCGCCAGGGAGGCCCGATGCTGATCCGAGAGGTCCGCGCGGACCTCCGACACTGCATGCTTGTGCCGCTTCGTCGACAGACGGAAGAGACATACCGATCGTGAAGGGAGGGATCCACAGCCGCAATGACGCCTGCCGCCGACAGATTCGCCTCCGAGAAGCCCTGCGATCCGGTGTGGAACTCGTTGCCATTACTGTCGGCTGTGCGAACCAACGGAACAGAGGCCATGACTCCGTGCTGACTCCTGGCTGCACCAAGGTTCAATAACACGTGTTCAGAATCGGGGGCCATTCGGCAGGAGGGCAAAGAGCAGGAGCTGAGGGACAGAAAAAGAAAACCCGAACCAAGGACGAAGCAGAACAGTGACCAGGTCTGATCTGAAAGGCGGAGACAGCAATGAAGCGGGCGCAGGCCTGGTCTGTGGATGTATCGCAGGTCTCAGACAGCTTATTGAGCCCGTCCAGGATAGTCGGGGTGTACTGCATGCCAACCTCGGGCGGCCGCAGCAAAACGGAAGATAAGAGGGGCGGCCGCACTAGTTGAGCAATGGCCGACCGTCCGGGCATTCCTATAGCCTGCCATGACATGCTCTTAGAACCTAGACATGTTCTAACAAACAAAAAACAATGAACACATGTTCCTGGAACATAGGCCGGATGTTCCAAAACAAAGAAGCCTCAGCCAAACATGTTGTAAACACAATTCGCACATAACACAAGCAATTCGTAGCACATTGTTTGGTGGGGCTATCGGCAAGTTTGGACGCTTCGCCGCTGCTCCAAGTAGAGCATGCGTTCCCCCCTCCCCGTCCTCCTGCGCCTCCTCCTCCACCTCTTCCTCCTCCTCCTCGCCCTCTTCACCACCATCATCATCACCACCACCATCACTACAAGCATCATCGCCATCAACATCATCATGGTGATCGGTTCGCCACCCCCATCCCCATCATCGTCCACGTCCACCTCGTCCTCCTGCCACTCTGCATCCCATGGCCCTCCTCCTCTTACTCCTCATCCTCCTTCTCTTCACCCTCTTCCTCCTGTTCCTTCTCCTCCTCCTCGTCCTCGCATGTTTCGCACCTCCGAGATCGAGAGGGGGCGGGGCGCCAAGTCAAAGGGGGAAGGGAAGCAGGCCCGAGGCCGCCTTCTCGAGGTCTTGGCCCGTTACTTGCACAACAGAGGCCGCCTTGAGGACCGAGGGTGAAATAGTCCGCTCCCTTTTTTTTGTGTTTTCTTTTTTTTCTCTCTATCTCTCTCTCTCTCTCTCTTTGCGGAAGACAGAAAGCAGACACCAGCATCAAGAAAGTATGTTTCATAATAGTTGGACTTGCGTTTTGGGCTAGCGTGAGCCCGTCCTGGCCTTCGGAATCGCAGGGGGGTGGGGAGGGTTGAAAGGCAAGCGTCGTGCAGCGCGCAGGAAGAAGGGCAGGAAACAAACAATGCAGACGGGAGGCGAAGTTGGCGGGCGTTCTCGGGAACGCGGGGACCGAAGGGAAAGATGCGGCTTCGTCCATGACCCGAGCCTCCCACTCCACCGCCGCCGCCCTCCGCGCTTCCCCCCACCCGTTTGGCCACCCTCCCTCCCTGTCTCTTCCCCCTCCTCTCGGGTCGGGCGAAAGGGGGGGATAGCAAAGGGGGGGGTGAGAATCAACTCCCGTAGCTGGTTTTCCCGGCGCCTCCCGGCGCCGGAGGCGGCCCACGTATCGAGGAACGGGCCCCTCGGTGAGGCCGACACCAGCTGCGTGCAGCACATTTCCTAACCCCCCCTTTCCCCATCCCCGCCTTTCGTCCGGCCCCCTCCTCCCGCCCGCCCCCCGCCCGCTCCCCGCCGCACCCCCGAGACCCTGCAAGCCCGAGGCCGGCACCCGACGAGCCCGATTCCACCACCTGGCCTCCGCGCCAGGGGGGGGGCCCGTGGCTGCCCGGCGCGGCCGGGGCCCGAGGGCGTGGCGACCTCTTATCGGGAATGGACAGACCCCCCCTTAGTAAAACGTGGTTTAGTGAAAACGACCTGAGGCCCAAACCTGGCGGGCGCAAGCCTGGAAAATAACGGCAACGGCGCCCTCTCGAGAACCGAAAACGAACCATTCACTAATCGACGTGTCACTGTTGGGGGTTCTGTCCACCCCCGATCTTAACCCTGGCCCACAAGCCCTGGCCAGTTTCCGAAGCCGTCGAAGGGCTTCGCTCCGCCCGCCTTGCCAGCGGGGGCCCTGGTGCTTGCGTCGGCTTTCTGGCGTTGCCGGTGACGAGAAGCCGGCGCCGGCGCCAAAACCCCGCGGGAAGAGTGCAGGGCCCTGTCCCTGCGGGGGCAGAGCGGCCCAGTGGAGCCCGCAAAGCCTGAGGTTGCTAGCCTTGCTCGCCGAATTTACAAGCCATGGGGTTCGCATGGTTCAAACAACGCCCCCTTGGGCTAAGGGCGCCCCCAGGGCCCGTGGGGCTGCCATGGCCCGCGGGGCTCGCGAGGCCCAGAAAACCGACGCGGCCCTGACGACTCAGGGGGCCTCTAGGGGGGCCGCGCGGCTCGCCAGGCTCGCGCGGCCCAGTGGGCCCCTGCGCGTTGCGGCGCCCATGTGGCCCAGGAAACCATTCTGGGACTTGTGGGGCTTAGGGGGCTGGCGAGGTTCGCGCGGCCCACGGGTGCGCGCGGCCCATGGAAATCCTAGAAAGTTCATTGGGGGAAATAGAAAAGGCCCGCGTTGCTCCCACGCGCGCAAGGCTGACATTCATCGACGCGGGACACGTGGGCCCGAAAAGACGGGCGACGGTATTCAATAGAGGTCCGTGATCTCGACGTCCTCAAGGTCCTCGATGCTGAAGAGGTTACCGAAGAGGTTACCATCGTCCACCTGGATGTCCAGGCGGGGCGTGGCCGCCTGGTCCTTGCCAGCCGCATCGCCAGCTCCTGGAAACACCACTGCGTTGTGAGCTTGCGGACCGCCTCCTGGTAGCGTCCAGTTCGAGCTCGCAGCGGTCCGCGGTGCAACCTGCCTCTTCCACGTGGCGCGCGGGCCGCTGTAGCGGGCGTTGGCGCGGCGAAGGGCATCCTCCGCCTCGCTCTGCTGCTGGCGAGCCGATGGAGACCGCCTCCGAAGTGGCCAGTTTGGCACGACGTTCGGCCAGCTTGGCCTCGTAGGCTGCTGCGCCAGCGGCGTCGCCAGTCTCGCGGAGGGGCTCCACCAGCTTGGCCAGCCGCTCTTCTTCGGGGCATGACCTCCCCTGGCCTCCCGCGCCTACAGGACCCACTGGTTCGATCTCTTCGGGACAGAGGTCGCAGTCCACCGAGGTCGAGCGACGAGCGGCGACGCTGGGCTGGTCGCAGGCCGTGCCCCAAAGCGGTGCTCCACCACGGCCTGGGGCTGTGGAGCGGCCCCAGCGCCCAGGCTGCTTGGGCCGCTGCGGTGGCGCAGGAAAGCGGGCCCAACCAGTAGGAGCCAGAAGAGCCTTGCAGTGTTTGCACCAGCGCCACCAGTGTTGGATACTTCTTGGCGCAGCCGCAGCCCGAACACCTGACCAGGCTGGGCTGCTGCTGCTGCTGTTGCTGCTGCGGCTGCGGCTGCGGCTGCTGCGGCTGCGACTGCTGGTGGCCATCTCGCAGCGCAACCTGCATGTAGTGCGCCTGCTGCTTGGCCTCCCCGCGGTGTCGGGCCAGCAGGCGACGCGCCGCGTCGCAGCGGAGGAGGTGCCGAGCCTCGGCGCGATGCCTCCGCTGCCGACCATGCCACGCGGGCGAGGGCGAACGACCCCCTGGTGCCCGTGTTCGATCACCGCCGCCCGCGGCCGCGGGATGTCGGCCGGGGCTTTCGCGCGGCGGGCCCCCCCAAGGCCCCCCAAGGCCCCCCTCAGCCAGAGCGCCTCGCCCTCCTCCCCCCCCCTCTTCCCCCACTCTCTCCTCTTGCTCCTCCTCCTCCTCCTCCTCCTCCTCCTCGCCCTCCGCATTATTCTCCTCCTCCTCCTTCTTTCCAAGACTCTGCCCCCTGCTGGCCCTGCTGCTGATCCCGGCGGCCCCGAGCGAATCCCCACTCTCGTCCTCGCCACCGTCCCCATCACATGAAGACAACTCCAGATCGAGATATGTCTGGAATCTCCCAGAGCTCGCGGGGTCGACGGATGTATCCTGCACCTTGGCCTTCTCAGAGCGCTCGGGAACGAGAGCACTCCAGAACGCTCTTGAGCCATGTATTTTCATCCTGCGCCTGTATGACCCGTATCGCTACGCCTCATCGTTTTCGTCGCTAGCATCCTCCTCCTACTCCTGCACGTCGTGGAACTCAAATAAACGACCCCTCGTTCGCTTGGCACCACGTGGCGATGGTGATATCTGGTGCCACACACCGCTGATTTCTTCGCGTCGTCACTGTAAAGACTCAATGTATTTACGCTGTACCCATATACACACAAGTGTTTTGACATCGTTCTGAACGTCCATGACTGATGCGTATCCTCCACCTCTTCATTCTCCTGATCCGCCTCACTCAACCCCGCCCCGCCCCGCGCTGCAACTCCCGCCTGCAATTTGACCGCCGAGCAGTACGCGTACGGGTCCTCGAGTGAGGCGCCGATCGCTCTCCCCCCCACTGCGCCGTTCACGCGAGGCAGTCCCCATGGAGGGGGAGGGATACCCGACGAAAGGGAGGAGAGGGGAGGGACCCGAGGTGGGTCGGAGGTGCAACTGGAGAGGGGTAGTGGAAGGAAAAGAAGGGAGGGATGGAGGGGAGGGAGGGAGGGGGGACGGTGGGGGGAGGATTGGAAAAAGGGCGGGGGGGAGGGATGGGGAAGGGGCGGAAGGAGTGGAGGGACGGAAAAGGAGGGAGCGGACGGAGGGGGGAGAGCGGGAAAGAGGGGCGCGGGGGGGGGGCAGTGAGGGGACAGGACAGGACAGGAGCGCGCTGAGTCCGCCGGTCGGCCGGCGGGCCCCCTAGGAGCAGCGCGGGTGGGCTGGAGCCCGGTTATTGCATGTGGTGGAGGAAGGCGTCTTCCCTGCAGTCCTATAATTTCTGGTCACAAGCATAATCTAACCAATGTTTGGTGATACTCCCAGTGGTAATTGTATAAGCTGTGATATGTCGTCGCACCACCGCTTGCGTTGTCGTCCATGTCTCCGCTGTGCTATTCGATTGTCGTGGACTTCCGGCTCCCACGCTGCCGCAAGCCTTGTCCATCTAAGGTTCGAGTGTGTTGCCACTCGCTTTGCCCACCGCCATTTTCGTCTGTATTATACTGTTGTCCACTCGTCCACGTGAAAGCGGGCAGCGAGATCTGCAGCCGCATGTGTGGCCGCGCGTGAAAGCGGGTAGTGAGGGGGAGTGTATTCAAATCCTCCCCCTCCGACGAGCGCGACTCATTCTCCTTCTGCTCCTCCTGCTCCTCCTCCTCCTCCTCCTCCTCGCGCTGCGTCAACGTCGGCGGGGTGGAGCGCGGACATTGGCTGCGTGCTCCTCCTCCTCCTCCGCCTCCTCCGTCCTCCGTCCTCCTCCTTCTCCTGTTTCCTCTCTCCTCTCTCCTCTCTCACTATCCACCTCCGCGTGCGTCTTCCCCAGAGCCTGGCATCGCTCGGACGTGTGTGTTTTGCTCTCCGCGAGGACCGTCGAGGAGCACCCTGGATCCTCTGGCCCAGAAGAGCACACGCGAAACCAAGACGCATGCCGGTGGCGACGACGGCCTCCCAGAAGGTCCCCCAAAAGCGAAAACGAGCCAAGGGTGACAGTTGCGGTACAGTCGGACCCAGGCCAGAATAACGCCCTTCAAGAACACGAGACCCTCCGTCGGCCAAACACACTGAACATCCAAGGGCACCCTCCCCAGGACGCACAACAACGTCCAATAAGCACGGAGAACATCAGGGTACCCTCCCCGAACCGACTCCGATCTCATGCCTCGGTCCGGCTGTACCTGTCCATCCTCCTCCCCTCCTCCTCCCCCCTCCCTCCTCCCGACGACGAGCGCGGCTCCTCCTCTTCCTCCTCCTCCTCCTCCTTCTGCTCCTCCTCCTCCTCCTCCTCCTCTGCTCCTCCTCCTCCTCCTCCTCCTCCTCCTCCTTCTCCCCTCCCTCCTCCCGACGACCAGCGCGGCTCCTCCTGCCTCCTCCTCCTCCTCTCCTCCTCCTCCTCCTCTCCTCCTCCTCCTCCTCCTCCTCCTCCTCCTCCTCCTCCTCCTCCTCCTCCCCTCCTCCTCCAAAACAAGGCTAGGATCGGGATAAATCGCTCCAGAGCGTTCCGGAGCGCTCTCAGAGCGTTCCGGAACGCTCTGGAGCGGCCGCGGCGCCCAATACATCCTCCAAACCCGCCGATTCTCAGAGATTTCGAGTTATCCCGATCCGATTTTGTCCCGATCTTCGCGTCGTTTGACCTCCTCCTCCTCCTTCTCCCCTCCTCCTCCCGACGACCAGCGCGGCTCCTCCTCCTCCCACGGCCAGCCGCGCATGGCCACGCCGCCCCACCTGCGGGGCTGCGGCGCGAGGCCGGCGCCGCGAGCCCCGTGGCCTCGCGGGGGACGACGGCGACGACGACGGCGACGCCCACGCCGACGCCGACGCCGACGCCGACGCCGACGCCGACGCCGACGACGACGACGCCGACGACGACGCCGACGCCGATGCCGACGCCGACGCCGACGCTGACGCCGCCGCCGCCGCCGCCGACGACGACGACGAAGATGAGGGGACCAGCGGGAACGAGGAAAAGCTGCACCACCCTCACCAGCCCGAGGATGTGCGAGGAGCCCAAGGGGGTCTTTCCTGGTGGTGTGGCCCCCCCTCCCCGCTCGAAGCATCAACATCCCCGGGTCGCGGAGGCACCTTGGACCTCCTCGCTGGAGGCGGCACCCCTGGTTGTGGTTTTGGAGTCGCGAGACGGTGCGGTGACAGACCGTGCGGTGACCTCGAAATCCCCCAAGACCTCACCGCACGGTCTGTCACCGCACGGTCTTGGGACCTCGGAGGCCCCTGTCGCCCGAGACGTCCTCGGAGAGAGACCCGAGTGCCAAAACCGTGCGGTGACCCCGAACCCCACCGACTCACCACACGGTGTGGTCACCACCCCGGTTTGGGGGCACCCGAGTGGTGCCGCTTCCCTTTCCTGCTAAACGGGGCGTGCGCTGATCCCATTGAGGCAGGGCTGGGGTGGCCATCTGGCGGAGAGGCCTTCCCTTCCAGCAGCGCATCGCATGTCCCCCAAGCCTTTGGGCCTCAGTGATTTTCCTGCGGTTACCTCGAATCCCCACCGACTCACCACACGGTGTGGTCACCACCCCGTTTGGGGGCCCCCGAGTGGTGCCGCTCCCCTTGCCTGCGAAGTGGGGCGTGCGCTGATCCCCTCGAGGCAGGGCTGGGGAGGACAGCTGGCGGAGAGGCCTTTCCAGCTGGCGGAGAGGCCTTCCCTTCCAGCAGCGCGTGTCCCCCAAGCCTTTCGGCCTCAGGGATTTTCCTGTCGGGCGGCCGGCTTCGCGCAAGCGTAAGAGTGACCCCACAACCCTCGACCAAGTCAACCTCACAGGTTGTTGGCGCGCCCCTTCGATGCCGCCCCCAATCGCCTACTCGATGTCGCCCCCTTCGATGTCGAATCAGTGCGAAACGCGGTCTGGGCCAGCGCGGCTCGGGGATAAGGTGCGCCAACAAATACTTCGCACACAATGTCACCCATACCCGGAACATCCAATATCCGCCACCCAAGAGGCGTGTCCTCAGGTCCTTTGCTCGGGGGCGGCGGCCCAGAGGGGGGCGTCCAAGAGGGAGGGGCGCAGATCATGGCCGGCGGCATGTGCGCGGCCCATGGGGGGGGGGGGGGGCAGGGACGCACTGAAACAAGAAGGGGCGCCGTGAAACCTGGGGAGATATCATGGCCCCCGCCATGATATCCACCCCCCCTAGCCTTTGAACGTCCGTGCCGATAATTCTTGGGCATCGTAACCATTCTTTCCGTACCAATTTTGTTCGTGCCGTTACTCATCACCCCCTCTCTGCCGCCCCCGATCTTCCTGCCTGCCCAGAAGGGCTCCAACAGGACACTCAGGAGGCCAAACACACGGTTTTCGTAAGGTTTTTGTATGTTGTTTGGGTTCTCGCCTTTTCGGGTCTCCGACGGTCTAGAGAGGCACAGGTCGGGCATGTGCCACTACAAACAGATTTTGGACGAAAAATAAAAGATACTCGGAAAATACGTAAACAAAAATCGAAAATAACAAAACATCGTCCCCAGACTATTCTTCTACTATTTTTGAACATTCCTCCTGTAGAGGGACATGCCCGACTTAAAGAGAGGCTCTCATGTGGGCCCTTCGCGATTCCTCCACGTCGGGGTCAAATCTTATCCAATGTCAGTCTCGATCCCTCCCCGTCGGCGCCAGACTGTCGGGCCAGAACCCAAGTCTCCGGTGTCAGTCCGCGGTGGCCGGGGCAGCCCCAGAACGCTCCGCCGCAGGAAGGCACCTCGAGGCTGGGAAACCTACGGGGGCCGACGAAGCCGTCCGGAAGCCTCGAACCGCCCCGGCTCTCTCGGGGCATCGAGTCGTGCCATGCGCCGGAGCGCGTGGGCAAAGGGCCCGACAATGCGCCTGTTTCTCCCCGCTTCGTGGGAGCGGCGGCGTGCCAGCACGATAGCATGAATTCGCATCGCTTGCTCGTTGGCTCCTGGGTGCGTGCGGAGGGGAGGCAAGGGGGGTGGAAGGGCGGCGGAAACGAGGGGGGCGAAGGGGAGGACGGGGGTGAAAGGGGGTGGAAGGGGGGAGGAAGGGGGAGGACGGGGAGGGAGAGGAAGAGGAAGGGGGAGGACGGGGAGGAGGAAGGGGGAGACGGGGAGGAGGAAGGGGGAGGACGGGGGAGGGGCGTGGAAGGGGAGGAGGGGGGGGGAAGGGGGAGCAAGGGGGAGGGGGGGGAAAGGGCAGGGGGAAGCAAGGGCGACGAAATCAGGACACGCGCTGCGCAGGGATGGAGGGCGGCGCAGCTCGGGCGGCGGGCCGCGCGCCTGCGCTGGCCGGCCGCAGCGGCCGCCCGCGCGCCTGGCGCGGCCGCCGCTGCGCGCCCCGCCCGCCCCGCCCCGCCCAAGGGCTCCTGCTGTCGGGCGGGGCAGGCCCCTGAAGAGGCAGGGGGAGAAGGAGGCGAGGAGGAGGCGGGAGGAGGGGTAGGAGGAGGGGAGGAGGAGGAGGAGGAGGAGGAGGAGGGGGGGTGGAGGAGGAGGCGGAGGAGGAGGAGGGGAGGAGGAGGGGTAGGAGGAGGAGGAGGAGGAGGAGGGGGGAGGAGGAGGAGGAGGAGGAGGATCAGCAGGAGGCGGGAGGAGAAGGAGGCGGAAGAGGAGGAGAAGGGGGTGGAGGAGGAGGAGGAGGAGGAGGAGGAGGAGGAGGAGGAGGAGGAGGAGGAGGAGGAAGGGTTGGACCCGTGCAAACCAAAACCACACTATCGGGGTTGCAATAAGCTTTCCGTCTTCATGCGCTCCTGCATGATACTTTCATTGTGGGGAATGCTCCATTGGACGACAATTGATTGAGAATCTCCAATCGTGCCAGAACGCCATTCCCTGGACTTTAGCGCTGCAAGTCAACGTGACCGTTGTGTCCTGGCAATCCCAAAATTTACTAGGACGAATTTCCTGGGACTTCAACACCTCGAATCAACATGACTGTTGCGTCCTAGATATCCGAAATCGTGCCAGAACACAATGACAGATACTCCAATCACCCAAATTCTTGACACTGCTGCAAACTTTGAGACGAACGTGCGCGGCGCCAAAGCGAGAGCCACATTTTGAAAACGGGCCGCTCCCCGCCCTGCATCTTCGAAGCAGTTGCGCAATTGAAACACGAAAGCGCGCAGAGCTGAAACGACAACCGCATTTTGACCACCACCCGCCCTACATCCGTGAAGCTGTTCCACGTGCCAGTCTTCAAAATCATCAGTGGTGGGGAAATCTGATCGAAACGCCCAGCCCGCTGTACCGACTCGTCAGAGGGTGCGACACGGAGGGGGACGAGGAAGAGGGCACAAACGGAGAGGGAGAGGATGAACAGGAGGACCTGTGCAAATCCAAGACGCATCAACGATTTTGCAATAACCCTTCCCTCCAATTGTTCTTCCTCTTCACACGCTGGGTCCCTACAAATATTCTCTTCGACAAGGGAAAATGCCTCTTTGGAAGACAACCGTTTGAACATCCGGACCTGTACCAGAAAACCATTCCTTGGACTTCTACGCCGCGAATCACTGTTACGTCTTGCCGATCATGAATCGTGTCACGCACTGTTCCTGAATCGACACAACTGTTGCGCCCTGACAGTCCGACATCGTGCCAAAACACCACTTCTGGGACGGTGAGTGCGAGAATCCTTGAATCTGAACAAGCCCTAAAAAGAATACGCGCGGTGCTAATGCGAAAACCACATTCTGAAAAGGAACCGCCCTCCATCCGCGAAGCTCTTGCAGCTTTTTGGAAACGAAGGTGCACAGCGCCAAGACGAGAACCACCTTTTTCTAAACATGACCGCCCTCTTTGCCTGAAACTGTTGTAAGATCTCGAAACGAATGCGCGCGGCGCGAATGTGATAACCACACTTTGAACAATCATCGCCCTCCATCCGTGAACCTCTTGCAAATCTTTAAAGACGAGTCTGCGCGGCGCTGGAGCGATGGCCACATTTTGAAAACGACCCGCCCTCCGTACACGAAGCTCTCCATGTTTCACAAGGAATGTGCGCGGCACCACGACGAGAACCATGTTTTGCAACGCGCCCGCCCTCCATCCGTGAAGCTCTTGCACATTTTCAGCTGCGGGATCATGCAAGGTGAGGAGGTCTCACGCGAAACGCCGGGCCCGCACCGCTGACATGCTTCGGGGTGCGACGGGGAGGAGTTGTTGGTAAGGCAGCGGCTGGAGGAGGAGGAGGCGGAAGAGGAGGAGGAGGAGGAGGAGGAGGAGCAAGAGGGAGGGAGAGAGAGACAGAGAAGGAACGCGCGACAGAGGGAGTCGGGTCACTCCGCCCAGCGCGCTGCCGCGGCCGCGCACGGGGGAGGGAGGACGAGGGTGGTCCCACCCCCCGTCCGAGGACGGCGTCGGGCGACCCGAGAGCATGGGCTGCGTGATCCGCCTAGCTCTTGTAGTCCCGGGTCGTCCACGCTACCTGGTCGGACGCGTCCGTCACGGGTAGCCAACCAAACTGGTGCAAACAGAGCAACCTGCGTGCAATTCTTACGAACAAAGGTCTGTCAGAGTCTCTGCCCAGCCGCGCTCTTCCCGATGCGAGCTCCGCAATGACATGACAGTCAACATGCACCCACAACCGCTGGGTTCCAGAGCCCCATGCGCTGTCCAACGGGAGTCCAAGAAACGGTGGAAGACACTCCAGGACTGCAAAGTTCCGTAGACATGGCGCCGGAGAGATGGGTCACCCACGGAAGCGAGCCGCGCCGGGCTGCCGTGGTAAATGCCATAAGTCGCACGCTGCGTTGACAAAGTCAAAACAACCACGCATCCAAGCTGCCAGCGAACCAGTCGCGCCCCGTGCGGCTCTCCAATGGCTTCCAAGCAGTTCCGCGAAAACGAACTCCCATGGTGTAGGTTGCTGGCCACTGTGCCTGTGACTGTAACCCTCGCGTTTCCGTTTCCTTTTGACCCCCACTGCCAGAACGGTATCCCGCCACGCCTGGGATCGCTACGTGCGCGCCCATGCCTCTGGCCGCTCGCCAAAGTGGCGTGGCGACGAGTCCTCAATCCAGGCTGCCTTGTGAAGGCTGCCGGCACGCGATGGTATACTGGTCTCAACGAGGCCTTTTGCGGCCTTTTGGAACCACGTGAAGATCTGTGAGGCCGATCGTTTGATAAAAGATGCCCTGCTCTCCGCTGGCCTCAACTTCATCCAGAACAAACATGTGTCGCATGTAACATGCCCGGAGAGATCGCAGCACGCCTCCCGTCACATGCCACATCTGGCAGCCGAACACTGCCGCAGTGGATGGTGAGTCGTGCCACGCCCTGAGTCGTGGGAGGGCGGGCATGCGAACGCGGAGCACTCGCAGGTGGGAGAAGATGATCGCGTCTGCCGCACTCTGCCGGTGAACCTGGATCTGGTTGGCGGAGCCCTGGGCGTCGAGGACATCGCCAAGGATCGTCATCTCCTTCACAATCGTATACTTCAAGAGGGTAGCCTGCTGAAGCATCTCAAAAGAGGGCAATTGCTCATCCACAAGAGTGCCTCCAGCCAACACCTTGAGGGAGGATGGTTTCCATCGCAGGCGCCTCGCGTTGATCGCTGTAGCCAACTCGGTCGACATGGTCTGCATCATCGCCAGGTCCGACGCGAAAATGAAAATGTTGGCCGCCCATAGTGCATGCGACTTGCATCGCGTGACCCCCGGAACATCCAGTTGCAAGCCCATTCCTCTCAGAGCCCAAGAACGAACAAGCGGTTCGAAAACATGATCAACGACGCCATTACATTCCTCTGGCGTCTCTACCCCCCCTTGTTTGCCGCCCTATTGTGCTCAAAGGGATCGGTCGTGCCTGCTCCTGGCAGGGTTATGGCGGCTTTCTGCCCAATAAGCTCCCCCTATGATAGTGGTCGCCGGCTGTGCCGTCGCCCCGCGCGCGCGCAACGCTTCCACGATGAGGGGGTGCTCCATTGGGTCGAAGGCCGTGGCCACGTCCTGGGAGGATACCAACACATGGCAGTCCCAGACGTGGTCCCCTGGTCGCACTGTGGGCCTCCAGAGGTCTGGACCCCTTCCAGGGGACTGGCTTTTCATCCCGCATCGTTGTTTGACGGGCCAGGGCCCCAAGAACCCCGAACGGCCCAAAACTTCCGTCGTTGTTTCACGACGCGAGAGGTCTGGGTCCCCTCCTCCTCCTTCTCCTCCTCCTCCTCCTTCTCTTCCTCCTCCTCCTCTGGCTCCTGTTGGTCCTCCTGTGGCGGCGCACACAAGCGGGTAGGGGGAAAGGGGGAGGCTTCTTGGAAGGAGGCCGCTTCTGAAAAGGCGCCGGCCCGACATCTAGAGAGAAGGCCCACGCCTTCTGAGAAGCAGGGGTGCCTCCAAGAAGCCTCCCCCCCCTCCCCCGACCCCCCCTCTCTGCGCGTGGCTGGCTCCTGGCTCTTCTCTGGCCCGCTCTGGCCTCCCTTGGCCTGTCTGCAGGCCCTTCCCCTTCAAGGCTGGCATTAGGTCGGGCATGTCCTCCTACAGGCCGATTTTGGACGAACACTTTTTTTTTAGAAGTCAAACATTACCCCCAAAATGTTAAAACAAATGATCAAAAAATCATCCCCTGACTATTTTTTGACTATTTTGGAATATCCCTCCTGTAATTAGAGGGACAGGCCCGACTTAAGGCTTGCAGGTGCAGGCGCTTGGGTCGCCCGACGCGGCCCTCGGACGGGGGGGAGGACCACCCTCGTCATCCCTCCCGCGTGCGCGGCCGCGGCCTCCTCGTCCTCCTAATCCTGTTTGTCTTCCTCCTCCTCCTCCTCCTTGTCCTCCTCGTCCTCCTCCTCCTCCTCCTCCTTGTCCTGTTTGTCTTCCTCCTCCTCCTCCTCCTCC